GAGAGAGAGAGAGAGAGAGAGAGAGAGAGAGAGAGAGAGAGAGATTCACTGCATCAGCAGGCTACGAGAGAGAGCGGGATTGGTGACATTTGGATCCAGACTCGACATTGGGCTTCAGACATTTGACGAGGGATTATCTGGGACTTGTACCGAAGACTTGGTGTTGACGACATTCCCATCTTCCCCCTCTTCTTCGTCTGATCCCCTCCTCTTCGTCTGTGTATGGTCTGGCCCTGGCGCATTCTTCCTGTGTGTAGCGCCAGGCCCCTTCACACCTTGTGATGAGGATGATGTATGTTGGGTCAGCATTGCGGCATTGATTGGGCTAGTCATTGGTATTCTAGCATTCCGCTATGCTGCCTTGTACTACGTGAGAGAGGTCAGTCCCGGTTAGATCAGGGCTTATATCTGAGTCTTCCACTGCGCTATTGCGTGCCATTTTTGTGTGTATCAGGATGTACACTGCTTGTTGAGATTCCACTAGCACTGCATTGTCCATTCAGTCCTTTTTATCACATTGTGGATCCTTGGCTTTACATACATTGCCCAACTGGGCATGTAACAAAGCTAACAAGCAGGGCAGTAGCAGTTTGGACAAGGTGGATGACAACAAAAGGGATAGTGCTCACATCCTATACACAGGGAATACTCGAGCCAATGCTTTCCTGGATATATCTGACAACAATTACAGACATTCCTGGACGTATCTGGCCACAATTACAGACAGTTCTGGCCGTGTCTTACTACAATAACCTCCAGAGATGAGTCAAAGGATTCCCAGTGTGAGCATGTCCACAGACCAACAAGCAAAGGCAGATCAAAACAAAGTCAGCACATGCCATGCCTGCAAGAAGCCAAGGTATGTGAACTGGGCCTACCACAGATGAGACGCAGAGGGCTTAGAGCCAGCTCGGCAAATCATGTAGGTTGAAGAAGGGTAAGCTGGATGCACGTACCCTTAGGGGTTGTCCAACTTTTCAAAGCATAGGCTAAACTAAAACCACTCCATCAGATGCTCTCGACAGAGGGTATGATCAGCACAGCAGAGAGCAACCACATTAGTTTCACGACACAATCCGAAGGCAGCAGGTGTGATTGACCTAGCATGGGTGACTGACTGGTAAACCAAATATGAACTGTGTTCAATACCTGATGTCAGATATTAAGTTCAATCGGAACGCGAAGGATTACGGGTTCAGTAACTGATGAAATCAGATAGACAGTAATGTCAGGGGCTTTCCCCTCTTTTCATTTCCAGAAAAAAAAAGAAACGTGTGATTGTAGAACTAGATCCGCTGCTGGATCATACATATGGCAGAGGGAATTGACACAATCACCGCTACAAGTTAGCCTGTCAACGAGCGAGAAGTGTTACTGGAGAACATAGGAGAACACGAGGGTTGCGTACCCACCAACCGTCGATGCAGACCATCGACCCAATCGCAGCCAACCAGTCGGTCTGTACTACGCTCTACTACAACTGCCCAAATCCACTATTAACTTTTTCATTTCTGTTGATGGGGTCGCGGGAGGGGGGAAGGAGGGGGGGGCATCGGCACTGTGGAGGGGTGTTTTCGGGCTTGGGGCTTGGGGCTGGGATTAAAGTTCTAAAGAATCTAAACCCTAAGGAAATTTTTTTTTTATGATGTGCTCGTGATGATGCTTGATGGCTGATGACGATGGAAGAAGAAAAAATTCAAAAAAAAGAATGACCGACTTCCATTGCTGGCTGGCTGGCTTCAGTGCAGGGGCAGCACACACAGCTGCATGCAGGGGTAGCACAGAGCTTCTGGATGGCCGCGAAATCACATCACAATGTGCACATGCTGAATAAGGTGAAATGCCACTGCTTCGAGGATTTATATTGTATTGCGGCTTTGCCAAGGCCCAGCCTTGGCAAAAGTCGTTTGCTGAGGCCGGCCGGTGCAATACTGGGCCCGGCAGGACCCCTGCTGATTGCGCCACCCCACCCCAGGTCCCACATAAAGGTGTGGGAATCGACAAGGATGCCAACCACCATCATCAAGCACCATCACGAGCACATCATCAAAAGTTTGTTGGGGTGGCTCGGTAGGCGCACCATCACGAGCACATCATCAAAAGTTTGTTGGGGTGGCACGGTAGGCGCCGACTGGTGGTCGATCAGCTGGTCGGTCGCCGACTGATCAGGAGGCACCTACTGCTCGCTTGACTACTTCAGTGGACACCAAAAAGAGGTAGAGCGACCACAGAGGAGGGCCTAAATGAACACTGCATAAAGTAGCTTAAGAATTGAGCAATGGAAAAAACTTCAAAAAAGAATTGGGGGTACAAGAGAAGGATGTGAAACTGAATGCACAAGGAAGGAATACACAGCAGAGTGACTGTAACAGAACAGGAAAATGACAGTTAGGGGTACTATTAGAGGAGTGGTGACAAGGATGGCAGTGGCCACATACGCGGCAGAGATAGGAAAACAGTAGGACAACAGGCGGCTTGAGGAACTGCCACAGACGCCCCCCTTGCACCCAGCCTTTCCGGAGTTTGACCTGCTGCGTGACCGGGCGCTGCTAGTAAGCTTCCCGGCCTGCAGGCCAACCCCCTAGTAGAGGCCAAGGCTTGGGGGTAGGGATGCTCTGTAGCAGTCCCCCCCTTGTCAGGCGTCTAGAACCACAAGGGTTAGGCTGTTGCTCTTTTTTCCTTTTTTCTCCCCCCTCCCTCTGATGGATGTAAAAAAACCTGCTTGCCGGTGATAAGCAACCGGACTGTTGCCCCCCCAGAATAGAAGGGGCTTTGACTTCTTGTTAAAAAAAAAAAACAGAGAAGGATGTGAAACAAGATGAGTAGAAAAACACTAGAAATAGAATGACAGAAGTAGTATGCATCTGCACGGCCAATGGGAGGAAGCGAAACAAGATGAGTAGAAAAACACTAGAAATAGAACGACAAAAGGAGTATGTATCTGCACGGCCAATGGAATCAGCTAAACAGGTTGATGTCAAATTCAAGAGGTTAGGTCATGTTGCTTACGATAGCATCAAATGAGACGGAATAGGACGATTATCACCACACAGAGGTGAAGCTGCATAACCGATTTGAGACAGAATGCGATGAAAAGGAGAGGAGGCGCTCCACTTACCAGCCATGTTCAGAGATGTCATGAAGCATCCAACATATGCCCGCTCCATCCGTAAACCCCATTTTACTTCTAAAAGAGTTGATGCATTCCATGCAGCAATCAAAAGCTCCAACTGTGAAGTTCCTCCAAGCCTGCAAATGCAGGCACTCTTTCAAGTGAGTTCTCATCAGACCTTTGAGAGCTGCATCCCCATTTGTCAGAAAGAATGATACATGGATTTTCCCACTTTCCCAGAAACCATGCCCAAATACGAGTTCCTCGATCTTCATCAGTTGTCATAATTGAGGGCCATTCTATACTGTAGCACTACAGCATATTCAATGTGAGCAGGAATCCATTGAAACAAGAAAATAGGAGAACGAAACAAGTTTGTGCCTTCACCTCCCAGAAACCATGCCCAAATGTAGAGGTGACGAGTTCTGCCATTTTGTTCATTGCCATAACTGAGTATCATCCTATACGGGACCATGGCAGCCTGTTCATCGGTAGGAAAATTCCTAGAAAAGCTAGGCTAGCAGCCAGGCCGCCCGGGTCACCTTGTTTGCCCGGGTGGCCCGGCCAGGGCCGAAGAATGTCCCAGAAAAACAAACTCGAAAAATCTGGAAAAAAAACTATGTGGGCCGAAGAATGTCCCAGAAAAACAAACTCGAAAAATCTGGAAAAAAAACTATGTTATGAAGACAAATAAACTGAACAACTTTTGCCTCAGGGTCACATCGAGATTCTTTACCAAATTTAAAATATAATATTATATATATATATATTTTTTTTTTTTTTGGCCCGGGCGGGCAAGTAGCCTAGTAGAAAAGAGCAAAAACAAAAGAAATAGTGCCCCTTCCCCTTCCGTAAACCATGCCCAAATGTAGACAACATGCACTCTCCCACTCCGTTCATTGCCATAGCTGAGGGTGGTCATTCTATACTGTAGCATTGCAGCCTGCCTATCCAATGCAAGGAATATTACTCTGGAACAGGAAAACTTAAGAGCAAAAGGGCAACGAAGTTCAACGAAAACTTGAAAAAGAAAAAGAAACAGAAACAAAAAATAAGTCTGTAATGTTTCTATGAATCTTTCATAGACAGAAACGACATTGTTGGCCACCTGCAATTGTTGAAGCTTCCATGACAAGCAGACAATGCTAAAAGCAACCTGCCCAGATACTGGTTAATTCCAACTTATTTGATTGACGATTTGACAACAACACAAACCATACCTCTGACGAGTGAGACCTTTGGCAGAGAACTTCACCAGCTTCCATCTATTTTGGTATCATATTTTTTCTTGTGCGAGATGTGCATCACCCATAAGAACACAATCCCACTACTCAAGGTCACACTACCAACTGCTCCTTCTCCCTGACACAGGCTTATATCAACAGCACTTGAAATTTTTCAATAAACCTGGAGCGTTAAACCAAAGAAAACACCGTCCATCATACTTGATCTCCGTGGAAGAGGATCAACGGTGGGAGAATTCAGATAGTCCTGGAGCCTGGAGTAAAAAGGCCAGGCCTCACTCGTGCGAGGTTCACGTTAACAAAGCATGAACATTACCATCATTGTGGCCAGCTTCATGCTTTCCAGGCATGAACATAGCACCGGTAGGGCCTGCCCATAAGCCCAGTAACCAAGATTGACTCGAGAGCAACCCTGTAATACGTGCAATTTGCGATTTTCCACCCACAATAAATTACCAAGAAGTATAAGAGTGCTTTCATGTGACCAGAGTCAAGCAACTACTCCAATTTTGTTTCTTTCTCTTTTTATTTAAGATAAAATACTAAGAGCAGAAATTGTCTACATCTGAGAAGGGAGCGGGGGGGAGGGAGCGGCGGTGAAGGGGGCAAGGGCAAGCATTAAGACTTCCCTGATAAAATACTAAGAGCAGAAACTGTCTACATCTGAGAAGGGGGGGGGGGGGGGGGGGGGAGGGAGCGGCGGTGAAGGGGGCAAGGGCAAGCATTAAGACTTCCCTTTCCTCTGCACGACTATTGCAAGATATGGCATGAGAGCAATGGCCGTGAAGCAAATAACTCACCCATTCACCATGAGCGCAACTTTATCGCCACCTTTGAGAGTAAGATAGCCTGAAGACTGCAAGAGCACCATAGGACAGGGTTTTAACTTTTAAGTGACACTTCACACATGCAATAGAACCATACCGCGGAATATTCCTCTCGGGGCCGGGCCCCACTGGTCCAGTGTTCATGCTTACCAAGAACCTGGTTGCAAAACTGGCTAGGTCTTTGCTAACCTAGCATTAATATAGCACCAGTGTGTGGCCTAGCTCTTCGTTTTAAGCAAGGAATGCTTGAACAAGGAGAACATGGTCAACCTGCTTAGAACTCAAATGGATGTGCGGACAGCTGGTGTGAACTGGGGTTGGCCAGACTGTGTGCAAGTTTGGGAAAAGGCCCTGGTCGAATGTGAATTACTAATTTTACTAATTTGATTATTAAATAAAGGTTGGGGCAATGACGACCATATTCTTCCTCCATTTCTTGTGCCCTTCTCAAAACCCCATCACACCTCAAACAGCTGCTGAGACACTGACAATTGCGCCTGAAATACTGATGCCTGGCACAGCAGCAAAAGGCTGTCTGAGAATGGCACCCACATAATGCTATGCCTAAGCGACAGTAAAACGTGCACAAGAAAATGCACACCCCAACTAAATGACCTGTTTGCGGATTTGCTCACAAAGGAGAAGAAGGGCTCCAAGAGATAATGAGCTTTGACTGGAATACGCCCAGACTGTGTTGTGATTCATTGCAGGTGATTCTGACTGACTGGCATGTAGCATGGAGAACCGTCTTGTCCATTGAAAGAACTATTCGGACGTGAGCATGCACACAGTTCACTCAATTGTATGTGTGTGTGCGTGCGTGTGCGTGTTTTGAATTTTCACCACAACAGCCCCTATTCCACCCAGATGAGCAGATCCAAAATCAAAGCATGTGTGTATGTGTGTGTGTGTGTGTGTGTGTGTGTGTGTGTGTGTGTGTGTGTGTGTGTGTGAGAGAGAGAGAGAGAGAGAGAGAGAGAGAGAGAGAGAGAGAGAGAGAGAGAGAGAGAGAGAGAGAGAGAGAGAGAGAGAGAGAGAGAGAGAGAGAGAGAGAAATTTGGAAGAATCTTCTAGTACAGCGGTAATTTTGCTGGACAGCTTCTAAAGGTCCGTGACGAAGTACAAACCTTAGAGAGTATGGTCTCGAGCATATGGGATACGATGTCCTCCACAGGCTGCATATTGCTTAGCATAGCACCTGGCTCTCCATGCTGTGCACAACCAATAAGGAAGCCATCATGGCAATAACAGCAAAATGCACCAAATGAGATGATTACTCTGATCTGACATGGCCAACCCTTCTCTTTACTATAAGGAGACACTTGCGGTGGGCTTTTGGGGCCGAATCTCACCATACTTGCGGGCCAGTGAAGTCAGGAAAGATCCTTAGTGTGAGTAAACCACACATCTTCACTGTCCTGGACAATTCCTTGATTGCTTCTGTGGTCCTTCGTTCAGAACGTCGTGTAATTTCTCCATACTGTCCTAGTAACAGCCATTCGTTATAACGGACATCGTATATTTTTTGAACAAAATTGAAACCTACTTATTTGCCCTAAGAATGTCACGGTCTTCAAACGCTGCCCCCCCTTGGATGTATATGGACTTCAGGCAAGTCCAAACGGACCCTCAGGAGCTAAAGCGGTGACATTTTTAGCGCCAAATAACTGGGTTTCAATTTCGTTCAAAAAAATAAAATGTCCGTTTCAACGAAATGGCTGTTCAATTTAAACAGATGTCAAGGAAATTAATATCGTAAATGCTAGCAAGCAGTAAGCTCAAACAATGTCCAGTCCAAAAGCCACAAAGTAACTTGAACACAATTGCTCCTATCTGCATTAGGATAGTAACGGCTTCATCTAGAATCCATGGAGCTTATTGGCATGGTCCAAACATTAAATAACAGAAAGCTTGCTTCACTTCCTTGTTTTTTTTTTTTTTTTTTAACAGGTCCTTATGGTCCTGGCTCCATATCCATTCTGGGGAGCGTCAGTCCGGTTCCTATTCCCCCGGCAAGTCAAAAGATTACAACGTTTTACCCACACAACGCTTCCTTCCGTCTGGCTGAAGGAACCCTGACCAGCATTGATTACTCCTTCTAAGGAGGATTGACTGTCAGCTTGCCCTGACCACTTGTTCCTCTCAGGCTTCTATTCAGAGCCTGTCGAATCAATCCCTGCAATGCGAGAAAAGTGGGGAGGCCCGCTCAGTGTTCAGTTACTTGTCCTTGTCCTTCATTGTGTGTCCGGTTAGCCTTGTTGTTGATCCCTCTTCAGAGCCTTCTTGACTTTCTGCCAGGGCGCCCGGCGGGAGGCCTTACAGACTTCATGATTGTTCCTGGTGCCATTTCTTCCACCTCAACCTGTTGTCCACCATCGTCGCCACCTTGCCCCTTAGCAGCCAGTTCCTCATGAAGGTCTGTTTCTTGGTTGCTTGTCTTTCTGGTCTGTGTCTTATAGAGTTGACTATTCTCCGCCATCTGCTTCTGATTTCCGTCTCTGCCATGCTCAGCAGTAGTGACCACATTTCTTCCCTAGCCACCTCTGCACCCTCGAATGTCTGAGTGCATCTGCATTTCCATATTAGCCACAGTGCCAGCTTCCTGAGCAAGGTAAACCATACTTCCCTGCTGCCTGTGATGTTGCTGGGGATGTAAGTTAGGATTAGGATAGAGAGAGGGGGAATGTCAGGGGGCGGCGAAGCGAACATAGCTCGCGGACCTTCTTCCATACCCATGTTGCTTCTGGGCAGAACAGGAGGCAGTGTGGGATGTCTTTGGGAGAGTTCTTGCTGCACATTGAGCAGCATTTCGAAGTATCAGGGTCGGAGTGTTTCCTTCTAGTATGTAGCCACTGGTTGACGGGAAGGGCTGCATGTGCTATTAGCCATTGCAAGCTGCGAATTCTGATAGGTCTGATGAGAAGGTATTTGGTCCAGGGGATGGTGAAAGGGATCATATCACCTAGGTTCAGTATGCTTCTCCATTTCTTTGTCGGCCTCGGATTTGGGTCCCTGGTTTGTAGTTCGAGGTTATATCCGAACTTTTACGTCATATTCTATTATCGTCCTCGATTTCCCGGTGACGCCTAAATCCCATATCCATTCCTTTGGTTCGAATTCCAGCTCCTTAATGCTGAGTTCCAGCTGGAAGATGATCCAGGGTTTCCTGTGAGAGACTCTAACCTTCCTAAGAAGGTAGTTCTTTTTTTTGTTTTTTTTTTTAATATCGTGTGGCCCGATGGACCACAGATCAGATATTAAACTGATCAGAACAGATACTACACTTGATCTTAGCCAAAAGGCCGTTAAAGGTATAAGAAGAAGGTAGGTTTCTATTTGTTCGTTCTGTGGTGTTCTGTTCAGGACCTCTAGTTCGTAAATGTTGTGTTGATGATAGGGTAGGATATGAACTTGGCCTGGTAGTTGGTCGGGTCCGGTTTGGATACGAAGCGGTAGGCTCTTGTTGGTGGGGTCTGTGTGGTGAGCAGTCCTCAGTCTCCTGATTTCCACGTGTGTGATTCTTTAAGGACGGTCGTCAATGGGGGGCGAATGCTTTGGAGGATTTCTGACACGTTGGTGGTCAGTAAGTGGCATCCTTTTAAGGCTGTGCGGAGGTCCTGTACGGTTAACCATTCTTGTCGGTCCTCAGACCATAGATGTTTAACCTTCCATGCTCCTCTCTCCACCCAAGACAACCATTTGTGGTCTTTGGCCCGGAGAGTCCATGACCTGCCCTCTGTATCTTTAATCCAGAGATTGCAGAACAGGGGCTGTCTTAGGACTTCCTCTTTGTTGCTCGGGGACCCGTTCTTTTCTGGCATCAGTTGGCGCCAGGCCTTCATGATTGGTGACCAGTAGGAGATGGGCGTAGTGAGGGGCTGATTGGGGGTCCCGTGGTTGGTACTCCTAGGAGGTCTTCCGGATTTGATTGACCATTCCTTTGCCATGATCCAAAACAGTCCACTCATGTTTGGAGGGGATGCTACCGGTCCCAAATTTCTTATGCTGTCTACCGCCATCTTAGTCCACGGGAGGGCTTGTTTGGTTAGGATTTTGATTATCCATTTCATTTGAAGGACGATCGCTTCTTGTTTAGGGTCCATTATACCTAGCCCGCCTTCATGTGGTTCTTGATGACGGTTTGCCAGACCACCTTGTTTATGCCGGTGGTTCTGCTGGGGTCGCCAGTCCACAGGTAGCACCTGGCTCTAGCCTTCAACTTCTTCAGGTCGTCGTCCGGAGGGGACCATATGGAGGCCAAGTACCACAGAGTGGAAAACACTGATGTGTTGATAATCGGGACTCTCCCTAGTAGGGAGGCCCAAGCTTTGTTGCAGGTGGCTAGACGGGTTATTGTTCTGGCAATTAAAATCTCTCCCATGCCTTGCCAGATGCCCTCTCTGTTTACTATAAAGCCCAGGTATCGAAGTGCTTGGTCGCCTGTGGACCATGACATTGGGGTGGTTGGGTCTGGAGGTTGGAGGGGCGTGCCTTCTGCAAGCCACCACCCTTCCGTTTTCGACCAATTTACCTTCATTTCTGAGGCGAGTCTGAAGGCTTCCATAGCGCGGGCCAGGGCCTGGAAGGAGGAGTTACTGGTGCGAATGAGCTCCTGAAGCAACTAAGGTTCTGCGATTCAGGAATGGCCACAACCTACCACAGTGTGTGACGTCCGGTCATTCTTGGGTCTTGCCTCCTACTACAGAAAGTTCGTCAGGAACTTTTCTGCTATTGCTGCACCCCTGACTGACCTCACAAAGAAAGACAACCACTTTCTTTGGACATCAGACTGTCAGCAGGCTTTTACACGCCTCAAGGAGGCCTTGATGCGTGCACCTGTTATGAAGTTACCTGACCGTACCCTGCCCTTCATACTAACTACTGATGCTAGCCAGTATGGTGTTGGGGTAGTACTTCAACAGGACAGTGGGCATGGTCTGCAGCCTGTTGAGTATATGAGTTAGAAGATCAAAGTGAAGAAGCTGCAGGATTCTACATACGAGAAAGAGTTGTATGCTCCGATACCAACTATTATGAACATGATTGTCCGTTGAAGTTTCTTTACCAACCCCATACTGAGGATCGCTAGTTCACTCGCAAGGAACTTATGAAAATGGCAAAGTCTGTTGTCCTCAAATATGAGGCTGTGCGGAAAGGGATTATCCCTCGGCGCTCTGCACGCCTATGCCCCTAGCTCGGAGGTCCTCGCTCCGGGGGAGGGTAGGTCTGCAATGACTTGCTGGTTCCAGGTTGCCCGTAGCCTCTCTCTCACGAGGCTGTACCATAGGTAGGGATAGATTCGTAGTTTTGTTTGGCTGAGGGCTAACCGAGAGACCTACCTGTAAGGAAAATTTGTGAGGGACATATCTGTAGATATGGGAAAATATAGGCCCAGTACTAACTCTGATTTCCTACAGCTACCCTAACTGCGAATAGCAGACCCGAACTACCCCTAGGACAGACAGGCCCTAAGGGCCTATGCTGATAGACGGTCCTATAGCCTATAGCCGGGTAAGAAGAGGCCCAAGGGGCCGAAACAGTAATGGTACCGGTCGGTCAGTCAGTCCGGTCTAGGTCGAGTCTAGGCTAGAGTAGAGTATAGATAGGTTGAGGGAATCGGTCCGGGGCTTTTGGCAGTTGACACTTCGTGGTGGAAGTTGCTGCGCACGTGGCATCAGGTCGTGGTGACTGATACATGCATGGGAGATGGCGGACATAGCCAGACCTTCGGAGCGCTTACCAGACTGGGGTCAACGCTGTCCACGCTGACTCTCTGGGAGTCAAAGCGGCCTGGGCTATCAGGGGTCTGATGCATTGGAGAACGTGGTGCACTGCTGACCCTCCTCATGAGTAGGGTCCCAGTGGCGATGTAGCCATAGCTGCATCTTCTCAGAGGATATCATCGTCTGGACTTCATCTTCATCAGGGACTGTTGGCGCTGAGCTTCTTCTTCATCATCTGAGTGGCGATTGGCTGTGGGAGCCTATTTCATCTTGGCGCAGGCCACTGAGTTGGATGTCAGGGTGGCGCTGGGTGTTACCTGGGGTTCTAGTGTCATTTTTAGCTGCTCCGTGTGTGTGGGACTGAGGCGCTACCCCTCTGAGGGTAGCGCAACAAGGTTCTGAGGTTATTCAGTAAAAACGATGCTCTGCGTTTAATAAACAGTTGTAATACTGTGTTCGACTTGTCATCTCTTCATTGATTTCTGGCT